CAAACCTTAAACCCTAAACCCTAAACCCTACAGAAGCCCCAAACCTTAAACCCTAAACCCTAAACCCTACAGAAGCCCCAAACCTTAAACCCTAAACCCTAAACCCTAAACCCTACAGAAGCCCTAAACAAATCAGGCTTTTCCTTTAAAAAGGGGACCTCCCAGAGCTGCCCCAGCACCGGATGAAGAGCACCGGCCAGCGCCCCCAAGCACTGGAGAACGGCGAGGCCGAGCCTCGGGTCTGGTAGGGTTTAGGGTTTAGGGTTTAGGGTTTAGGGTTTAGGGTTTAGGGTTTAGGGTTTAGGGTTTAGGGTTTAGGGTTTAGGGTTTAGGGTAGGGTTCTTTTTTTGAGGGGTGTAGCTTAGGGGGCTTAGGGCTTCAGGGGTTTAGGGGCTTAGGGGCTTAGGGCTTCAGGGGTTTTTAGGGCTTCAGGGCTTTAAGGGTTTGGGGCTTCAAGGCTTTAGGGGTTTAGGGTTCAGGGCTTTGGGAGTTTAGGGGCTTCGAGGGTTTATAGGGCTGCCAGGGCTTTGGATTCCTTTGAGGAGTGCGGCTTAAGGGCTTAGGGGCTCAGGGCTTTAGGGGCTTAGGGCTTAGGGCGTTAGGGGTTTGGGGGCGTCTAGGGCTTATAGGGCTGCTAGGGCTTTAGGGGCTTAGGGTTTAGGGATTTAGGGGCTTAGAGGTTTAGGGTTCATGGCTTTGGGGGTTTAGGGGTTTTGGGGCTTCTGTCCTTAGGGAGGCTCTAGAGGGGTTCCTTTTGGGGCTGGCTTCAGGGTGTTTCCCGTGTTTGGAGTTTTGGTGTTTCAGGGTTTAGGGTCCAGGGTGTAGTTTCCAGGGTTTGGGGTTTTAAGTTGAGGGTGCTAGTGTTAGCCCGCATACTTTAGGATTTAGCGGAATTCTTGACAAGGACTGTGACCTGACATCCCGCCCCGCGAAACTGGAAAGGCCTCGCCCGAAGCGGCTACAGGTTACCAAGGATATGCTATGCTGCTACGAAGACAAATGCGACGGGGCGATCACCAAGCCGACGATGCTGCTTATCGCGTTGATCATTATATGACTGTTCCCACAACCCCACAGGGCAAAGCAACTGACGGAGGAGAAGGAGCCCTGCGAAGTTGCCACCGACGTCCCAAGCATCGCGCCTAGAGCTCCAAGGAACCCTGCACTTCGCAAGACCCCAGAGATGCAGAGACACCTCGAAGTCTCAAAAATCCCAAAGTCAAATCGCCAAGGAGCCCAGGAGGTTCCATCGGATGATGCCTGCGGCAAAAGCTAAGGGACTTCGGTCAGTTGTAAATGACGGGGTCCCTGCAAACAGAAAGAGCCAGCTTAGGCTGATGCGCACAGACCAGCAGCCAGACCAGCAGCATCTCCTTGGACATGCCCGAAGCTGCGGTGGCAAACAGAAAGGTGAAACTGATGCCAAAATTTCAAAACCTCCAAGCCTAGGGTGTGGTGTCTAGGGTTTCGGGCTTAGGGTCTACCCACGGAAAGACAGAACCTGACTTCTCACTCTGGAGCATAACATCTACAGCGAATGCCAGAAAGTTGGAAACGGGTTTAGAATGATTTGTGCTAGATCCCTTCTGCGTTTCCCCTTAACTTAAGGGCACGACACTTATGAGGTTCCAACTTTATAGCTTGTACTATAGGACTCCTCTAGCCACGGTTACGAGGCCATAGATCGTGCAAGCAGGGCGCGCTGGAAGGCATCGAAGGACTTGCTGTGCTGGATCTGATTGCCTGTAGGCCTCCTCCATGTGTCAACTGACTTTATACCAAAGAAGTACACCGTGACCGACGAGACATGGAGAAGGACAAAGAGCGAGCGAGATAAAACAAGAACGAGAAAGGAGAGAGAGTTCAAGTGTACCCATGCATATATATATATATATACATGTATATACACACGCACATACAGACGTACAAACAAACAAACAAACAAACATACATACATACATACATACATACATACATACATACATACATACACACCTGCACACATAGACACATACATCAATACA